ATTTGTTTTAATCTATATAATGATCTTCGCAATTTAATTGAGAACATGGTTCTCGGCCATGCAACATTGGTTTTTGGCACCTTAAATTCTTCAGGGACTTTCATATATATGTCACTATCAAATGAACCATACAAATATGCAGTTACTACATCCATAAGGGGCATATCAAACTTTTGTGACACGGTCAAACTAATTAAAAATCTAAAAGTGATGGTGTCCATTACGGGCAAATATGTTTCTTCATAATCAATTTATGATCTTTGTGAGAAACCATGAGCTACTAATCGAGCTTTGTACCTTGTAATTTCATTATTTTCATTATTCTTTGGTACAAAAACCCATTTGTATCTATCAGGAATTACATTTTCAGGTGTTCGAACTACAGATCTAAATACTTTTCGTTTCTCCAAAGAATTCAATTCCGCCTGTGTGACTTCTTTTCATTTTGGCCAATCATTTCCATTTTGACAGTCTTTAACCGATTGTGGTTCAGGATCCTCATTTTGTATATATCAAGAGCTACATTAAATGTGAAAATATTGTCTATAACAACATTATTTCATTCCCATAATTTATGAGATAACATATAATTTATTGAAATATCATTATTTTCGAATACTTGTGGTTCTTCAGGAACTGTATTTTCAATATTTAATTGATCAATCTTTTCTAATGTAACTGCTTCCGAAATTTTTGGTTGGTTTTTCTTATGTATTTTTCTTTTTCGAGGTACAAAGTCTTTTGAACCAACTGGTCGACCACACTTCTAGCGTATTTGAGATTCATTTGCTAAAACAGATTATACTATAGGGACAGAAATTTTTGCTGGAATACTTTCTGCTGGAATATATGACTTTGTCACTTTTCTTGTGTCAACAAATATATCATGTAATGATTTGCAACTCTTTTCAAATGAATACTTTTTTCAATCTCTTGCTCACATTGATTGCTGTAGGGATCAAAATGAGATAGGGTTTCTTCATTCCAAGTAATTTTACTTTATTTTTCAGGATGTAGTTTTTTCCCTACTAAAGTTAGAAAAATCATTTCATCAAAATGACAATATGCAAAACGTGCAGTAAATAAGTCACCCGTTAAAGATTCAAGATACCTAATAATTGATGGTGAATCAAAATCCACATAAATTCCAAGTTTTCATTGGGGACCTATTTTATTACGTTGTAGGGGTGAAATAGGGACTTGAACAACACAACCAAAGACCCGTAGGTGAGAAATATCAGGTTCATAACTAAATGCCAGTTGCAAAGGTAAATGTTGATAATAAGCAGTTGGTCTAATACGAACCAATGATGCAGTATGTAATATGGCAGGACCCCAAACAAAAATTGGGAGTTTTGTTTTCATAAGTAATGGTCTACCAATAAGTTGTAGACGTTTAATAAACGACTTTGCCAACCCATTTTGTATATGGACATGAGCAACTGAATATTCAATTACAATCCCAATTGACATACAATAATCATCAAATGCTTGTGATCTAAATTCATCAGCATTGTCAAGGCGAATAGTTTTAATTGAGTAATCGAGAAATTGCGCTAGTAATTATATAATTTGAGCAAGTAGTCTAGCAAATGCTACGTTCCTAATGGAAAGTAGGCAAACATGTGACCATCTAGTAGAAGAATCAATTAATACCATAAAATAACGAAATAGTCCACATGATGAGTGTATTGGGCCACATATATTTCCATGAATTCTTTCCAAGAAAATTAGAAATTCAATATTGACTTTTGTAGTTGAAAATCTAATGACACACTTGCCTTGCGAACAAATTACACATAGATAATTATTAGGTAAAAGAATCTTCTGGTTCTTTAAAGGATGTCCATGTAAATTGTTTATTAATCGACGCATCATTATACTTCCTGGATGTCCAAGTCGATCATGCCAAAGAATAAAATTTTTTGGGTCAACGAACTTCTGGTTCGTGATATTATTTGATTCAACTATTTTTATAAATGTATAATACATGCCAGATGGGAGTGTATAAATTTTTTCTTTTATCTGCTTCTGAACAGATACAAAAGAGGTTATGCAAAGATATTCAGTATTATTTTTTTGCATCGTCTCAATATGACATCCATTTCAACGGATATATTTAAAACTAAGAAAATTTCTTCTAAATTTACTAGAATAAAGTGTATCGTCAATATATAATTTTGTATTATTTGGTAAAATAATACAAGTTTTTCCAGAGCCTTCAATGATATTTGATACACCTAATATTATATTGACATTATTTTCTTTCAATGTTAAGTCCAATAAATATTTTTTATCTTAAAAAATAGTATGTTCAGTTGCACTATCAATCAAGCAGGTGTTTTGACAATCTATCATGAATCTATCAATATAACAAAATAGATATATTTTAAAAAAACTTGAATTTAAATTAAAAATGATGAGCACAATTAATACTGTGAAATTAATGATGCATAATAAAGTTCAAAATTTTTGCGAAAAGTAAAAATATATTTCAAACTAAATTTCTAAAATAAAGATAAATCCTAGAAATAAAAAAATAAACTAATCTATATCTTCCATCACACCACCCCAATCAAATGGTCAATATTCCTATTGGATCAGCAAAGAAATTGGAGACATCCAAATAAGTCACATCAATTGGACCATCATAGTCAGCAAAATTTGTCTCCACTTTTTCCTTTCCCTTGATTGATTTTTGATCGAGATTCACAATGTGTTTTGCCTTACGATAGGTACGTGTCCAATACCCATTCATTCCACATCTAAAGTAAACTTTTTTCCTGTACCCTTTTAGGTGTGCTAATTTCGTTTACTTTGTGCCTTTTGAAATTGTTGTCTTGTTTTTGATAACTTTGTTGATTATTTCGTCCATGATTTACTCTGCGTGCATATCCGCGTCCATGTCTAAATCCACGTCCACGTCTTGATATTGCATTTGTTTCAGGTAATTCAATACTATTTGCTTCAGGCAATTGTACAAAATCAGTTGGACGCAACCCATGATTTTTCATCAGCAGTTCATTATTCTGTTCAGTAACAAGCAGACAAGATGTAAGTTATGAGTACTTTTTGAAACCACGCTCGCTATATTGCTGCTGCAGGAGCACATTCAAGGTGTGAAAGGTGGAAAAAGTTTTCTCCAACATGTCTTCATTAGTGATTTTTTCTCTACATAATGTTAATTTTGAACATATTTTGAACAATTCAAAATTGTTCTTACTAACAGTTTTAAGGTCTTGCAAATGAAGATGCATCCATTCATAGCGGGCTTTGGGGAGGACTATAGTCCTCTGATGAGTTAATTTCTTCCAAAAAACATGTGGATCATTTTCAGTGAGATATTCAATTTTCAGCCCATCATGAAAATGATGACGAAAGGAAGATGAGTGCTTTTACACAATCCTGCATGAACTCTTTGTTTCTTTTTTTTATTGTCTCTCCCAAACTTTTTGAGACAAAATGAATATCAGCATCGAATACCCACGATAGATAATTTTTGCCAGATATATCAAGTGCAGCAAATTCGAGTTTCGTAATATTTGCCATTTGATTAACTACAGAATAAAGTAAAAGAAAATATAATTAATTTCAAAGAATATGATTAAACATCAAATAATAGTTAATCAAGTAGTTAATATCAATATGACATAAGTTACGTATTTTCTTTCAAGGATAAACACTAAAATAATATGTTTTTCGAAACATATGCTACTTTAGGAGCACGTATTTTATTATTATTTCTTCAAAATCAATACGTCAATATTTTTCTGGAATATTGAAAAATATATTTTATGCTCTTCAAGAGCAAATAATATTCTTCAAGAATATTGATTATAAATTATGCTACTTCAGAAGTATCAACAAACTATTTATAATAGGTAGATTTTTGATCAATATTCTCCTAAAATATTAATTATAACGTTGTGCTACTTCAAGAGCAACAACATGATAGAATATTAATTTAAAATTTATAATAGAACAACACAAATATATAATCAAGTTAAAGAATATTAATTACCATGCAAATAAAAAATAATTACCAAATAGATTGGATATGAATTTATCTTTTAAAATTAGTTACCAAACATGTATTAAATTTTTTTTTGAAAAGATATTCTTTATAGCTATTCTTCACCATAAACATATATTTTACATTCATAAAAAAATTTAAAGAAAGAATTACATAAATTAATACATCTAATGCTACACGTATACATGAATTAAAACAGGGTGTACACATTTTTTTTTTCGCCTCAAATTGATCTAAATTGGCACGAATTCAAATTCAAGAATTGAAAACATGCATTAGTGCCGCATAAAACCATGGATTGAAGATGAATTCATAAGCATCTAATGATTGTCATGATATGAGCATCTAATGATTGCTACTTCATGAAATTGATTGTCACATAATAAAGATGTAAAATCAAAAGGTAGAAATTGATGAATTGTAGTGGACGAAGCAGCCTCCAATATTTGATTGGTACCATGAAAAAAATTTGGACGTGAACTAGACGAAATTGAATTAATACATACGTATAGATTGAATTCACATGTTGCCAAATTAATTTTGGTACACGTGATTATGTTTATAAAAAATATTACCTTTTAACTAATTTACTTTGATTTTAAAAGAATGTTGTTGATAATGTGTTATAAAAGTGAAGAGAACAGAAGAGAACAAAGAAGTTAATAGACTTGTGTATATTTTATTAAGGACCAAAATCTTGTATTTATAAGGCAGAACGAGGGATATAACAGTAATAATTTTTAGGACTGCAGATGTATAATTATCATTCATCTCGAAACCCTAAGAAACTTTTCTTTTGCAACATCGGCTTGATTTTTGAATTGTGATTTTTAAATGACTCTGGGTGTAATTTCCACTACTGAAAACTCTCCGAACTGACTCATATACGGGCCTTTATATAATTTAATTTTAAAAAATAAAAAAATTGGAGGGCATTATAGTATTTCGACCGAAGACTTAAACCCCAATTAAGTCTCCGATTCGATTTGCCTAAACCACAGCAGAGATACTGATCGGCTCTTCAATTTTCAGAGTGATTGAAAATGGGTTACACCAAAGAGCAATTGCTAGCTTGCTTACAGGTTCCCCCCCATCATTGTTTGTTTTCAATATTTTTCCATTACATTGTATAATTTCTATATACAAGTATGAGGTCAATATATATATATATATATTTTTTTTTAATTGCGAAGAAATGTATTAAAATTTAGGTATTTGAAAGCGATTTTTAGTTTTTCCTATTGTAATGTACAAATGGTGAATTCATAATAATTGTGTTGGTATACTGCTGTTAAGCTGTGTTTGGTTTAGTGGGACAAGAACAATTTCATATATTGACAACTTACATTCAAAGAAACTCCTGGACAATGGACCATGCATAGTTTAGGCGATTGAAGTTGTAATTAGTTTGTAATTTTTATTCAATTAAATCAATATACTGGGTTTTTATTTTTATTTTTTTTATTTTTTTCCAGGAGCTTCAAATAGATTTTGCCCAATATGAGCATCCTGTCGTTTTGACAGTTGAAGCTCAGGTAAAAGAATTTATAAATTTTAAGTCTTTCTCTTTTTCGGCAGTGTTTGAAACAGCCTTTTGTCTTGAATCAGGCAAAGTATGTCGGGCACATGAAAGGTGCATTGAGTAAAAATTTATTCTTAAAGGTTAGTTGGCTAACACTGAAAGGATGCAATAGAATTATTAATTACGTGCTTCTTCATATTTCCAAAAACCATAAATTTTAATGTGTAGTATTTCTTCTATGACAGGATAAGAAACACAGATTTTTATATTGTTTCTGCTCTGGCGGATATGAAGGTGGATTTGAAAGGTATATGTACTTTCAAAGCTTCAATAAATATTTTCCATAGAGGGTTGGCTTATGTTGACACCGACAAGCAGAATCTCCTGAACTAATAATATATTGCCTATTTGAGCTCACATATTTTGCTTGCTAATGGATATTGTATCCTGGCATTGATGCTGAACAGTTTTGTCTCAGAGGCTTGGTCTGGGAAAAGGAGGTTTAAGAATGGCTCCAGAAGAAGCACTTGGAGAAGTTCTTCAGGTTTCTAATTGCCTGTTTGTTTAACTTTCTCTTTCTGTTTATTACATCACGCCAGACTAAACAAGGCAGTTCTTTATTTGGGCTATAAGAGCCAGAAGACACTAAAAATTCTGTCTACTTCTACTGTTTGAGCAGTCAAGAACAATTCTTTAAATTTTGAACCAAGTTCAGGGAGCTTATATACATGATCAGAGATTGTAAGTGCATGACTGAGATTACTGCTGATTGCAATTTCATGCCTTATCCTTTAATCAACTCTTACAAATATTAATTGAACTTTGTCTTAATATTAATTCATGATTATATTTCTGTTGAAGGTTCCTCCGGGTTGCGTTACTCCATTTGCACTTGTAAATGACTCAGCATGGTATGAGCCTTGGGTTCCTCTAGGGTCAATATCTAATTTGTTGAGATTATTGTTGTCTGTTGATATCCTTTTTCTTGAATGCAAGAAAAGTTCATTTTACCAACTGTCTCTTTCTTTCTTTTGCAAAGGCATGTTTGTTTGTTGTTAGATCAAAGATTCAAATCTCAAGAATGTTGTTTCTTCCATCCATTGTCTAATGACACGTCTGTTGGTGAGTGATCAAGACTGTAATGGGATAATTTTTTTTTTTTTTTTCAGTACAGTTATTTTTTCTTTACTGTTCAGAAGTGACCATGTGCTAACAGTGAGTGCAACTAGTTGCCACTTGTACAATAAGCTGTTGCCTGTAAAACTGTTCATTCTTCTTACTGAGTACATTTCGTGGAGTACTTAATATTTATGTTGGTCATAATTATTTGGTATGATGCTGCCTGCACTGAATGGTTAATTGAATAAAGAGCGATGTGATAAGAAACTTCTGAATGAAATGAAGGATTCTATTAATCAGCAAACAAGATTACAAGAATTGAAACCAGACTACTTTACTTCTCAAATTGCCTGCCTATCTCCTACCTTTAGCCCCCTATTTATAACCCGTTTCTAACAAACTTATTCCCCTTCCCACATGCTCCTAAACAGAATTTAGTTAACCTTCTTTCCAGATGATTCTCCTCCCTTCTTGAGTCTTCTAGAATATGTGAAGTGGACGGGAAGCCTAACACGATGGTTTTGAAAGTGATTTTATAGACATAATTTTTCTCAGCCATAATTTATCAGGTTTCATGAAGTTATTTGTGAGTACCTTTGCTAAGAGTGTTTTCTTATTCATTTTTCCTTCTCTTCGGGATCATTATAGGTATTTGCTTTGATGCCTTGAAAGGTATGATTTTATTGCTAAAGAAGAGCCATTTTATGTGAGGCATGCAAATTGAAAATTTGAAGTGGTCCACTCTCAGCAATAGTTTTTCTTGTTAAAGCGGTTAAAATCAATTAGCAATTAGCTCCATCCAAAAGTTCTGTCTGATTATGATTTCTTTCTTCTAATGTGCTGTCCACAGCTATTAATTCCCATGATCTTGACAAGTTTCTGAATTCAATAGGAAAAAACCCAGCGTACATTGACCTGGAGGTAATTACAAGATCAGTTGGTTGGGTAAATAATGAATATAGCTTCTTAGGTAATGATGTTTTGATTTTAGCTTATTGTGTTACATTCTCAGGCAAACCCTCCAGTAGGGAAGGATCTACTTCCTGATTTGGCTGGTCTTATTCCATCAGATGCTGTAGTCTTGCCTGACCCTCCAGAAAAAAGGGCATCTTCTCAAGGTCCCAATGAGAATCTTATCTCAGTCAGTAACAAACCAACAGCCACTGTAGGTATGGTATTGCTAAAAGCCAATTGCTTGCTTATTTTTTATTTCAATACGTGATAATTTTAATATGCTTGAGTTTCCATGGTCACATTGAGGCATTGTTCAGATAGCAAGAGTTGAGGTTCAGAGTGGATTTTATTCCTATTAATTTTCATCTGATTATATGAATATGTGCATGTTTCTTTTGTTACTGAACAGGCATATTTGCCTAGCAAATGACTCCGTTTTCTGGACAGATGCCTGAAATTATTCCAATACTGATTTATACACCTTCACTCTCCTTAAAGCTGCACCGCATACAATGTGTACTTTCACTGCAAAAAAATCTGGACCCTCTACTAGTAATTGATTTCATTAATGAATTATCCATTGCCTTACTTCGTAATTCGCTTACACGTTATGCATATGTAGTCGGATCAGACATTAGGTTTCTTGTGGTTGCAAACAGATTCTGAAAAATATGCAATTATCAATTAATGACTCAATTTGGCAGCTTGTTTTCCTAATTGTAGAATAAAGTAGAAAGTGAATCCTCATGCGCAAAAATGCTTAG